CTTAAATAAACCAATTAAACATCTCTACTGCGTCTTCAGTAACGTAAACACGTTACAATATATATATATGTGTGTGTGTATCTGAATTGTTCCGTTGTTAATTTTGGGGCTTACTTGTAGGGAAACAGGACTTGTGTTCTAGTTGGTAATTACTGTTGTTACAAATCCATTGTTTGTGTATGTGGAAGGGTTGGTATAGTACCTTTGTTCATAGTGGAAATTCCAGTCAATTATATATCTAGAGGCACAAAGTTCGGCTTCACTGCACTAACGTGGAAGCAATACAGCTTCTTGACAATGCAAGGACAGTGAGAAAGCTCAAGAAACTCAAGCTGTTTGTAAGTGTAAGTGCACGTTAGTGAAAATACTGAGATGAAGACTCAAGCCACTTGAACTAGTGAGACAGATAATGTGCTCAAGACACCAGATTCTGGGACACGCCGGTGGCCGTAGTCTTAGACATTTAGTTATAGTAGTAGTAGTTTAAATCAGAAGAGAAATGCTCATTAGTCTCGGACTAGTTACATTGTTAGAACGCAAAAAAGAATATTATATATATGAGCAGAACAAAATATGGATGGCTAGAAAATATAGTGGCTTCATGCATTATTTTTATCTGCAAACTCAACAGATTTCTCTGAGAGAATCCCTAGTTTATTCTGATATTATATTCAGAATTTGACCTAATAGGTGAGTTTTCTTCAAGTTTGTTATCTCACACAACTCAATTACAGCATTGCTCTTTACCTTCTCAGGCACAGCACTTCGTGTGACAACTGGAGGAAAACCTGGACAAACAAGCCTGATTCAGATACCTAGTAGCACACAATTTGCAGTTGTGTCTCAAGGCAACTTACTGTCTGTGGGTCAGCCACGAGTGATTCAGACCCAGCTGACCAGTCAGCAGGTATGTTAGTGCTTAGCTTGTAAAGTGCAACTCACAGTTAACATTGCTTTCTCTTAGGTTTCTCCACCAGGCAGTTTGGTGTAGCAGTAATGCCCTACATGTATACGTACAGGAGGAACTCAGTTTTCATCTCAGGCAGGATGCCAGCTTCCCTAACTGATGGTTTCTGTGTTTTTCTTCATTTCCTCCATGCAAGTGCTAGGATATTACATCAGTTCTGGGAAGAATTTTTGATGACTGTAATGACCATGCTGCAAGCTGGGAGGTTACAGATGTGATTACCAATGAGGTCATTGGAATTTTCAATTGATCTAATCCTTCCAGCCACATTATGGGCTTGGGGTCAACTCAGCCTCTAGCAGAAATGAGTACCATGAATCATCCTGGGGGTAGAGGGTGGCCAGCATGGAAGGCTGACAACCTCACCACCATTTATGAGCCAATTATCTAGAAATACTTGGGGACCTCGATGTCTCAGAAACCTATGGGCCTCCATGGACTGTTAAAGGGATAGCTTTACCTTACAAAGAATATATTGTGGTGGAGATTGTTTCTAGAAAAATGAACACATAATGGTATAATGAGAAGGTTGAATGTTTCTGTAACATGATACTGAACCTTTTCAGGTAATGTACAGAACTGTTTCTTAAGCCAAACTGTTGTGTTATGTACATTATTCACTAGCTAATTCATTTGACTTCCCAGATTGTAGATTTGTACCTGCAGTAAGGCCAGTGCAAAATAGCTAGTAACAAGGAATCCATTTGGAACATGTGCGAGTATTTGCTCTGATTTGTATGACCTCTGTCCTTTCTTGTTTTTAATAAGTATGAAATTAACACAGTCAATGTCCATCCTAACAAGTGACAAGCATTTGCCACTGTGTATGTAAATGATATTTTCTCCTACAGATGTCATTCAAAGTCTATTTTGTTGAAGCTTGAAGGAGTCAGTATATATGGTGACTGTCAGTTGTTTTTGTTTGTGAGAGTTTAGGTTCTCACAGCAATGAATGTGAAGAGTACTATCTTCTGGGATGTGACACTATGTAGTATGGAAGAGATTTACTGCTGTTTTGGACAACTCATATTGCTCTTCTTGCTTCCTGCTTGCTTTCTTGGATTATTCTTCAACCCTGAAGGTGACATTCCTCTGAAACAAGGGTAAACTTCTAAATGGTTCTGACAGTAGTGTATAATAATCAGAAATACTAGGTTTTGGACTTTGCCCATCATCTGATATTCTAGAAAGTGGAAAATACAACGTTTCGGAAACTGGATCTGTTTATGTCTTCGGGTGAGGGGGAGGCACCTACTCCTTTGGGTCCCTTAGAAAGGTCCAGTGATTGAAATTATCTCTTTCTAAGGGACCCAACAGAGTAGATGTCTCCTCCCCTCCTCACCTGAGGATGGAAACAGATGTTTCCAAAACATTGTGTTCTCTAGTTTCTAGAATACCAGACGATGGACAGAGTTCAGAAACCCAGTAATTCTAAAGGTAAACTTCTGTCTAACTGCACAGTGTCACATTCCAAAAGATTAAACTCTTTTTGTTATTCATTTGGTCTCATCCATTTTGTCTTAAATATAGTAAATTTGAGTCTAGTATTCATAAGAAAATAGCCATCCCAGCAAGTGAAATCCCCTTATCTGGGTGTGATCTGGTGTATGGTAGGAAGCACGGTCCAGATTCAGTAGGTAAATGCAGGACATTTTAACAAAACTGTTTCAGTCCCTTGCCACAACAGCGGGTATACAGCAGCAACAAGTCACAAAACTCGTCACAGCCGCAGGCAAACCTGTGGTCGCAGGAGCTGCAACTACAGCGACTGCCAACTTGCGCATGATAGGGCCAGCAGCTGGTGGACTCAACCTGGCCCACATTGGTGGCAAACCTGTGTTACTTGCCAGTAAAGCTCAGTCTACACCCATACAGGGACCAACTGGCCAGGTGATTAAAAACCAAGCCATCACAGTCATTTTGGGTACTCTGTATAAGGGCCATGGACTGACCTCCACATCTCCCCTATGCTGTTAACCTCCTCTGCGAATTTCTGTTGTTCGCATCCATCTATCCATTTTATTCACACACAAGGGATGATGTCCTTGTGAGGTTTAACATTCTTATGGTAGTAACTGAAGACTACTGTCTTTTGAGATGCAATGCCATGTAGTCTACTAGGTATTTGGCAACATTTCAGAGCAACCAGCTGTCTCCTTGATGATGGACTGTAGATGGAGGCAATAGGTTCTTCTTGAACTTTGGTAGCTGTCTATCTGACTGCATGGTATCACATCCCAAAACAGTAATTTTTAGTGACAGCTACCTACACTAACAGTAGGCTCTTTGATCTGATGATGGGGACAGGGGTGGTCCCTGGAGCATCAGTAATTTTTAACCAAGTGGCAAGACTGATAGCTAGAAGATTTTATCAGCTTTAGCCACTGCAGAAGCTCCAAATATTAAATTGTGTTTATTTGTGTATAAACAGTTTCTTTACTTATATAAAGAAATTATTTTATTATAATTATAAACAACAAGTCTTATAAGGAGGTGAATAGTTCCTTATTATAATTTTGCATAACCCCCATTTAGTGAAAATCCCAATTTAGTGGTAAGAAAAGCCATTCGCAAAGGATTGATTAAATGGATAACTCACTGTAGTGCACAGAGTTGGGGGTCTCAAGTGCCATTCCTGGGACTTTGTTGCATGACCTTGCTAAAGGAAAAACAGAATTACTACCAGTACTGAATAAATGCTTGAGGAGCTGATATTTTGTGTATGACCTTCAACCTTGAAATAAATTTACACCTGCCTTCCTGATAAAGTTGGATTTGTTTGTGCTTTGGCTTTGGATAAATGGCTGCTGGCCCTCACCAGCACAGCCATTCTTGGTTCCAGGTCCTGGGGGACTCATTACCATATTTTTCTCTCGCACAGCTCTGAGAGTCATGCAAGGATGTCTCTTGTTTTATGCAAATTTTAAGTTCAGTCACAGACTCTTGGAACATACTGTTACTGACAGATCACAAAACAACTTTTAGGCTTACACCAGCCCTGAATGTCTTTGCAATATGAGAAAATTGTTGGTTGTTTGCAGAACGTAATCCTGACATCACAAGCTACGGGTGGCCAGACGGTTGTATTAGCATCACAAGCATTGCGAGCACAGGGTGGGACTCTGGTGCTTCAGCAGGGAGGTGCTCAACAGATATTGCTGCCACCTGGTTTTCAAGGAGGGACTCTCAATATTAAGACCCTGCAAGGTCTGCAAGGCCTTCAAGGCCTAAAAGTGATCCCTTTGTCACAAGCAACTGCTGCAGCAAGCAACAAAGGTGAGGAAAGCTGCAACAGGTCATAATGCACAAAAAAAAATATGTAATTTATTTTGTATATATTTATTTAAGGATTATTAACCCAAGCTATAGCATTAATTACTAAAATAAAACAGTAATATGAAAAATTAGTATTTCAGGATCTATGAATAAATGGACTAGTGTTTACAGAGGGGTGGTAGCAGCTCAGACTATATAGCGCCAAATGGTAAGGGTAGTAATGAATGTGGAATTGGAAAGGGTGTGCGCGTGTGTCTGAGTTTGTGTGCATCTGTGCGTACATGTGTCGGAGACTGAGCAAGTTGGTTCAAGTGGCAACACTTCAGACTTGTATTAAGGATGTGCCCAGTTCAAATATCAGATGGGCTACTGACTATCCTAACTGATATATTTATATTTCATGGTTTTCCTTAGTCTTTCCATCCAAATGTTCGTGTGACATCTTAAATTAAGCCATGAACTCTTCCTTCCACATCCTTTCCAGTTCATTATTCAGAGTCATCCTGTCATTCAGCACTATAGAATCTGAGTTGCTGAAAGCATTATTAAATATACCGCAAGGAAAAGGGATCTGGAAGGAAGCAGTTGTGCCCTAATTTAAGGTAATTTTATTGTAGAGGGTGAGAGAACCCAGAAAGAATTTCAGTCAAGATACTCAGTGCCCAAGCTGAGATCTCAACCAGTCACCTTTGGAAAACAAGTCCCAGTTACAAAATACCTTGTGTGATACAGTTCAAGAAACTGTCGGAAAATGACACATGGTGTGCTTACTGTCACTTTCTTAGGTCGACAACAAGTTTATGCTCGGATCATCAGCCCTGGGCTGAGACCAGCTGCTACCAACATTGTCCACCAAAACACAGCTACAGCAATGACGTTGCAAAGTACCACCAGTGAAGCCAGTCCTGCCAATCCGCAGCTGGGAGCAGGTCCCTCTAGCAATATGGAGCAATAGACACTAACACAAAGAGAGAAAGAGCAAGATTTTTTCCTTGCAATCAACACAGTTTGTATGAGAAGAGTTATTGTTCGGACTCTTGCAAAATGGAGATAAATTATGTGAAATTATAAAGCAGAATCTTGTTTTATCAGTGATTGATAATGATACTGCAATAAAAATAAGATAAGTGTTGTAGTTTATATGTTATGATATTGTAACCATTTGTAAATAGTAGGTTGTCTCACTGCGTGCTTCCTCAAGTATTAACTGTGCATTTGGTTTTTTTTTTTTTAACTCTCACAAGACTGTAGTATCACAGACATTGTCATACAGTGAACGTTCTTTTTAGAGCTTTTTGAAATGTTGGTGCTGTTGGAGCCATAGTTTTCTCCTCCTCTGCTTGTTTCTGATGCACACTATTATCTGTTTATGAATTAAGTGTTCAAGAAGCATGGAACTGGAATGTAGTGTGCTGCTATGATACGGAAATGCTACATTGTATACATACTCTGTATGATTGTCTTTGTGTTGTAAACAGAGGGGAAATGTAGGTTGTTTGAGAACATGGTACAAAGGAAAGTTTAGTGGAACCCCCATTTAAAGTTTCTTTTGGGAGCAATGAATTTGAGCATTAAACTGAAGAATATATTAAATAGATGGAATTGAGATTAGTGATTTGTGATCATAATAAAGAGCTTGATAATTCATGCTGTTCAACATATAATATTATACTGAATAAATTCAAGGAGGATGGGATTGGTGGGCCATGCAGTATGCAGATTGAGATAAATATGTGCAACATTTTAGTCAGAAAGCCTAAATTTTTAAATACTTATATGTATTTTATGTAATGACGCTGTCAGTTGCATAGACTGTATGGTGGCAAATGGTAGGAAGATTGATGAATTGAAAAGAATGTGAACAGAAACAGTCATAGCCTATTTAAATGCTGTAGTTTGCCTGGAGGGCCTGAGGAAAATTTGAAAAACCTTAGTTGGGATAACTGATATCGTGGCCAAGATCTGAACTGGACACCTCATGAAGTTTTACTGCCTGAACCTTCTTGCTCAGGCAGAAAACTCAGCAGGAAGACACAACTTGAAGCAGAGTGTCATTCAGTATTCAGCAGAAGCAAAGTGACTGAATTGTTTAAATTTTGTATGATAAATTAGGCCCTGTGGTTTACTCAGCCTCTAACAGAAATGAGTGCCAGGAATTAATTAAATAATTTTCCTGGGGAGTAAAGCGCGGCCGGCGTGTAAGGCTGACAACCTTACCGCCATCTTTGAACCAATTGTCTAGATAATGTGGGACCCTCAACATCTCACAACCCTATGGGCCTTCACGGTACATGGATAGCTTTACTTACTTATGATAAATTACTAAGAGCTCCAGAGCCGGTATTTTCACTGTGAAAGCTTCAGCTTTTATATCTTTGGGCTAATTCATAAAATAAGATTGTGTTCCCAAGACTGTTTACAAATATGCTGCATTTCAAGATAATTTTTAGCTGTTGATGTTCTCTTGCACAGTCAGACATCTGAAACTTAATGTAGCTGAGAAGCAGTGAATCCCCCCCACTGTAAAGCTGTGTTTGCCACAGAAAACATTTCTGGTCCAACCACAGACTTTATCTGATAATCCCTGCAGTTTACAGTATAAAATGACTTGAGTGTTAGGTAGAGTAGTAAAGTTGTGGATTTTTTTTATTACTAGTGGAGTGGGACTAAGTTCCTTGTACTCTGGCCACTTCTGGCCATACCAGCCCAGATAATAGGTGAGGGTGATTGTGAAGCAATTGGTGGAATGAAGATTGGCAGGGGAAACCGAAGTACGCAGAGAAAACCTGCCCCAGCACCACTTCGTCCACCACAAATTCCACTTGACCAGACCCGGGATTGAACCTGGGCCACCACGGTGGGAAGCCAGCGACTAACTGCTTGAGCTGTGGCACAGCCCTAAAGTTGTGGATTAATATGAGGGTGGTGCTCCGTTCTACTCTCAGGTGGGGCACTGGCTATCCTGACTGCAGATTTTCTCGCTTTTCTCAGTTCCTTCACAGAAATGCTGGGATAGTATGCCAGTTAGGCCATGACTGCTTCTTCCCAGTTTATTATTTACCAGTTGTCCTACCATTCAATGCTACATGATCTATATACTAACAGTGCTGTAAATAAGGAACAAGAAAAACAGATTAGAGTGTACTACAAGTTGGCCTACTGTTTGATGATGGCATATCACATTGTGTAACACTCTTTATTCTCATAATGTATATCATCTGGTTTCTTTATATAAAGACATCAGTGTTTCAGAAATGGGTTCACTTTCTCTCTTAACATGGAGAAAATATGAAAAAGGTCATACTGTACACACAGTATGAAAATGTCTCAACCTAGGAATGCAACACAATAGGACTTTATATAAATGCAGTGGAACCTCCATTCAGTTTCCACAGTATAAGGTATTTTCCTTATTTAATATTCAGTTTCAGTGACCCCAAGTCAGTAATCTCAATGTTATTCCCCCATTTAAGATCTTCAGTTTAGTCTTGAAATCTAATGATCCCTACAGCACTATTAACAGGGGTTTCGCTGTACATAAATTTTCAAATGCGTATGTTCTCAGGCTAGTTTATACAAGTTGAGTGACAAGTTTCAGGGCAAATGTGCCGTCTTCAGGCCCTCAAATACTTTAATATGTATATAAACCTTTTGTATTATGAGGAATTATACATCTTGTATGTATGTAATTTTGCCTGTCCCACTGAAGACAGCAAACCCATTTCAGAACCATGGATTTTATATAAAAAAATCTAGGATGATGAAAAAAAAAGGTAAACTTGTTCCTGTTCTTAATTAAATGCTATGCCATGAAGACACATGGAGGAGTGGAGGTATAGTTCCACCATTATTGACCTTGGACGTAGATGGTGAGTGGTCAGCTTCATGCCCTGCCCACATTATCCCCCCCTCCACACACACACACACAGAAAAACCCCATGATATCCATTGGGTAGGATGCTGAGTGCACTCGAGAGCTGGTCTGGATGTTTTGAAGAACAGAAAAATCCCTCCCTCTGCTGGGAACCAAACCCAGCCATCCAGCCCATAGCCTATTGCAATACCAACTGAGTTATCGCACTCAGAGTCGAATAAATAAATAGCTTAGAAGTTCTCACCTTGATGATTTGTCAGGTATTCAAATAAATAGATCTAACATTAGAAAATCACATTCCTTTCCATTGCAAGACTGAGCCTTACTTTTATAACTAATTACCTCCATGGAGCATAGTCCTTGAGAAGCTAATATTTGCTCAGCTTGCCAAGAAATTTGTAGCATCTGTGGAACCCAAAATTTCATTATCATGTCCACAAGAGCCCACCACTTATCACTACCCTGATTCATATTAATCCAGCCCCTCCCATCTTATTCCTTTAAGTTTCATTTGAATATTATTCTTTCATCTACACCCAGGTCTTCCAAGTGGTATTTTTCCTTCAGGTTTTATTGTCAAAACTCCATATACATTTCTCATCTCTCCCACGCGTTCCATATGTCTCACCCATCTCATCCTCCACAATTTGATCATCCTAATGATGCTGGGTGAAGAGTACAAATTATGAAGTGTTTTGCTGTGCAGTTTTATCAAGCCTCACACTGTTTTCTCCCTCTTCTTCCCTCTCCAAATCATAGCAGCACCCTGTTCCCAGACACCTTCGGTCACATTCTTCCTTTCATGTCAGAGACCAAGTTCCATACCCATTCAAACAAAATTAATTGTACCTGGTGGATTCTTATATGTCAGTGTCAGAATCCCAAAGGATAAGATACTGTTGTTTCTGTAGCAGACGTGTAGTCATGAATTTGTGCATAATCATTTGCCCAAGCTTTGAAGTATGTATGACTTTGAAAGTGTATGTTTACACATGGATGTGTTCAGCGGGACCTTCAGCATCTCCTGTGAGATCAGAATGGAGAGATAATTAAACAAAATCTCAAATTCTGCTGATTGTCACAGTTTCGTGTTAACTTCAGCATTTCTGTTGGCAATATTTCATAGAACAAACACAGAGAATGAATTTTGTGTGTTGAGTGAAATCTTGAAGTCATCTTCTGTGATGTGATGCCATGCAGTCTGGTAGATGGGTACCAATGATTCAGAGCAACCAGATGTCTCAATGTCCAGGACAACTCTGAAATCTCAGACTATACAGCTTGAAGCCTTCTTCAAACTATAAGATGTCTGTATGAGATTTGAGGTTCTCACATTGGTCTTCATAAAGAGTTCTTTCTTCTGGGATGTAACACTGTAGTGTGGTGAAAGTCAATCAGTGTTTCAGGACATTCGCTGTTTGCTGCTTGTTTCACGCTGGTTTCTTGCTTGGCTTACTCTACAGCCTTGAAGATGGAGGTGACATGTTTCTCTGAAATGTTGGTTGACTTTCCCCAGGGCTTTATGATGTTATATCAAAGAAAACTCTATGAAATGTCTCTTCAGTTATCTCTCCTGCAACGTGTGGATGGGCTTAAGTACAAGTTTTATATAAACTAACAAACTACAATAATATATTGCAACAAAAATACAGCTACCATACTTTGTGTCACATTAATTACCACATAATTGTCGTGTTAATTGTTTGTGTGAAGTTTTTTTAGTTCTCTGTCAGATGTCACTGTATGACTGAGTGAATGTCACTGTAATGTATGAAGTCATTTTGAAACTGTAACAGAATGTAATTTAAGAAATTTGTATATATGAACTTAAAATGAAGTTTCTGAAACCATCAGGTTAGATGGGAGAAAGCTTATCAGTGTAAATAATTTAAAGTTAATTATGATTTGAAACTTTCACAGTGATCATATGCAATGAAGTCTCCTCTGTATCAGTGTTTCAGAGACCGTCTCTTTCTCCATCATCAGGATTTGGTGTGGTGAGTGACATGGCCAAATGTTGTACAGGGTGATCCACTTTTAGGGGAGGTCCTGAATTATTAACCCTTAGGCGACAAACAAGAACCATGGGACAGTTGTATGCACTGGTACTTGTGAATGGATGGACATGATTAAACTAACAGGTGATTCTGAAATGTGCCAAAACTGCATAATTCTGGTTTGGTCTTAATTAAGCTACATTCTGTAGTACATAAAAAAAGGTGTTAATATTTCTTTTCAGCAATATACAGATGGAAATTTTGACAGAGGGCATCCAATATGTAAAGAAACTAAGAATAGTTTAGCATTATGTATTGGTGGAAGTGTAATGTTGCACTTTACTTCAAATCACTGTTTCCAGACCACATATCTGGTGCTCTGAAATTCTTAATTATGAGAATGCATCGTTCTTTGCCAAAACAGGATTAGCTTATTAAAATACTAATTTTAATAATTCCTAAATAATCAGATTTCTTGTGAATGACCATCTCTGCTCATTCAGCAATTGGATGTTCAAGAAATTCGCTCTTTACAGAACCCACAGCATCTTCATTCATCACCAACCCACCATCAGTCTCTAAAGTGAATATAGCAAACTTGAATTCATTCTTGTACAAAGCATGTCATATGCACAGTGTTGGTGACTAACTGACCTGTAATATTCTGCACTACGAGTATGTTGAACTTGAACTCATATGGGAAAGGAAGGCAGCATGTTCCTTCAAAACTTGGTATCCGCCCACAAAACTACATGATGCCACAACCCTGAAGACTGCAATCTTAATAATCACTGCTGTAAAACCATAAACACTTACACAGATTCTGTGAGTTTCTTCGTTTGATTCAATTTGAAGGTAATTTAGAAATAAATCTGACAAGGCCTACACCTCATTTTGAGCAACTTTTATAATGTAAAACAACAATAACATCCCCTAAAACTTGTGCATCCTCTCAGAAACTTTGGTTTATTAACAAAATATGACCAGATTGAATCCATCTGTCTACCACAGATTATTGTAACATATATTTATTTTCACCCTGTATAAATATATAGTAAAACCTGCCTTAAATGGAAATATTTTCAGGTCCCTTGACTTTGGGGCTGAAAAAGATGTTAAATAACCTGGATTAAACGGAAACTGTTTAACGCGGACAACGGAAATCAAAATAAGCCTATATATGGAAAATTTCCAGTCTTCCGGAATGCATCATTTAGAATAATTTTAGGCATCCTATACATTCTACAGAATTTTGTTTTCCCTAATTCTTTAAAATAAGCTTCTAACGGTACTGCACTACCTGCACTGAGATTCAGCAGAATTGTTTTCCCCTTCTGGAAATTGTATTCAGTAAGGGCTCTAGGCGTGAACGGAGAAGTTCATGGAGGTAGGCCTAGGCCCACTGGGGATGTAGTGCCAAGGAAAAAAAAGAGGGCTCTAGGCCTACAGTTCTACTTTAGTCTAGCAGTTGTCATCATGGCTACAAAGACAAGAGTTGTGCTTGATCTTAACACAAGATTAAAAGTGATTCATGTGAGTAAGCAAGATAAATTGTCTGTTAAGCAGATCATGAAGATGTTTAACGTTGGTAAAACTCAAGTGTATGAGATTCTAAAGAAGAAAACAGAAATTCTGAAGCAGTGGGAAACTTGTGCTAATGGAAAAATAAAAAGAGAACTTAAGAAAACTGCAAAAGAAGACGTTAATAAAATAGTGTGGGAGTGGTTTGTCAGTGTGAGGGCGAAAAATCACCAGGAATATGCTAAAAAGTCGCTGAAAAACTGGGGAAGACTGAATTCAAAGCATCTAATGGATGGTTGGAGAGTTTTCGCAAAAGACATCGGATAGTTTTTAATGAACTTTGTGATGAATCAAGTGATTGAGGAATGGGAAGCTAAATTGCCATCCATAATCGAGGGATATGAACCTGAAAACATAGTGAACGGTGATGAGACTGGACTGTTCTTCAATGGTAGAATGAAAATGCAAAACCAGTATGTTTTGTTGTTCTTGGATAACGCAACATGCCACCCCCATATCGAACTTTGCAAAGTGCGACTTGCTTGGTTCCCTCCAAACACCACTAGTGTTTCTCAACCAATGGATCAGGGCATCATTCGGAATGTTAAGGTCCACTATCATAAATTAATAATGCAATCTTTGCTCGTCAATATAAATTCTACATCATCCGCCTCTGTGTCTCGGTTCTAGATGCGGTTATTTGGATAAGTCAAGCAGTAAAGAAGTTGTTACCAGAAACTGTGACAAAGTGTTTAAAAAAAGCAGGATTTTCTACGGTAGAAGTTACTCCTAGTGTAGAAAATGAGAATGACCAGAAGGACTTACAACATTGCATGAATGAAGCTGCTTTCAGTAACTGCAATGCTGAGGACTACATCAACATAGACAAAGATGTGCAAACAGAACCAGACACAATGGATATCGATGTATTAGTTGAGAATTTTAGAGAAAATCAAAAAGGAAGAGAGGAGGAGGAGGAAGAGGAAGAAGAGGAAAATGACCTTGTGATAGAAGAAGAAAAGTGTAGAGTGAAGACTTATCAGGATGCTGCCAACAGTTTAAAGGTACTGCAGGAGTTTGCCATGCAACGGAATGATTCAGACATGCTTACTCTAATTTCTCAAGCTAAAGTGTTTGTGGAAAGTCAGGCAGCCAAGAGAGTAAACTGCATGCAAAAAAGTCTGCTGGAGTTCTGGTAAAATTATAAAAAGTGAGTACTGCAATTTTTTCCTGTTCAGTGTAATGTTTGCATGTGTTCAATGATTANATATTACATGTGCCACTCAGAAATAAATCCAACAGAAAATCGATTTACAGTTAACAAAATATAGCATAGAAAATAGCAACAAAGAGTGTTCACGTCAGGAATTCTTGTTTCCAATCTTCCTCATCTTTCATGTATAAGTGGACCTGCTTTGAAAACAAAATCTTTAGTAGTAGTAGTAGTGCTACACACACGATTTCACAACAATTCACGATTTCAACATGATTTACACAAAATTTCCTATACAGTTGAATGGATACAATGAATTAAATAACCTGCAGTATCCATAAAGCAGCATGGTTTTATCCAAACTTGTGGGCCATGGTTACAAATATTATTGGAAAAATTTTGATGCTGGACTATATTTGATTCTTGGCCATGCCATAGCCCAAGCGGTTAGTTGCTGGCTTCCCACCATGGCGGCCCAGGTTCAATCCCAGGTCTGGTCAAGTGGGATTTGTGGTGGACAAAGTGGTGTTGGGGCAGGTTTTCTTAGAGTACTTCGGTTTCCCCTGCCAGTCTTCATTCCACCAAATTCTCCATCATCATAATCACCCAGGGCAGGCTACAATAGGCCAATCAGTGGCCGCCATGCCGAGTGGACCCAGTTGGACTCCACCCCTCACTAAGCAAATTTTTTTAAATATTTGATTCTCGCACATTTATTGATGTACAGCATAACATCCCAGAAGATATAACCTTCTTGTAACTGTTGTGGGAAACTCAAATCTGATATTATTTCTTTTTTCCAAATGCTAGATGGTTCTGGATAGGTTCTAGTGGTCAGCTCTTGTGAACATGGTAAGGAACTTCGGTTTCCATAAAAGGTGTGAACTTCATGACAAGCTGAAGGACTGTCAGCATGTCAAGAATGATTCTGGCTGGTAACAGAACACAACATACAGTGTAAACATTTGTATAATCTCCATTATGTTACCTACAACACATAGTACTAAGTACAGTGTGTCCAACTTGAATTGCCTCCCTTCACTTAAGGCTCACTTTGTTTAAGTATATAATGGAATTATAATACAGAAGACAACAAATTGCATACAATGCTACAATATTGTTTCAAGTAAATAGATTTATAACAAAATTTGCACAATAAATAAAATGACAAAAAGATTTCCATTTCATTTAGTACATAGTGTTGTCAGTAAGATTATAATTTGCTCTTTTCTTAAAGTGAAAAGAAATAATCAATGATTTAGCATGAATACACAAATAAACTGCAGCAAAAATTGCAATGTTGTCAACATTCACAAGTCACACCATCATCTGCCTCACCATCGTTGGTCTAAATCAGTAACCCGCACTTTTCTCATCCCTCTGAACCTGAATGCCACAACTTACTTTCCCCTACAGCACATTCTGTAGTAATTCATGGAATCTGTATCTTTGAAACCACCACCACACACTTTCCAGTGGGCCATCCCCACAGCCTCTTTCCCCAAGATCCATTTTAAAATTATCCTTCCATCTGTGCTGACCACCTCTTTGGTCTAGTGGTCAGAGTTCCTTGCTACAGATCCAGAGATCCAGGTTCGATTCCCAGCACTACCAGATTTTCTGAGAAGCAGTGGTTCTGGAATGGGGTCCACTCAGCCTTATGAGGATAATTGAGGAGCTATTTCAAAGGAAATGGTGGCTATGGTCTAGAAAACCAAAATTAACGGCCATGAGGAATCGTTGCGCTGACCACATGACACCCCTTATCCGCTAAAGTTGGCACTAACTTCGCCGACAAGCAGCAGTCACTCCATCAGTACAGTTCACTTGCAGACTAAAACCACAGAGTTTTTTTTTTTCTATCTATGTTTCTGTCTTCCACAACTTGTATCCCATCTCCTAATATTTTAAACCCACTTCCACCATGCAAACAGTGAAGGAAATTGTATCAATATTTACTCTGTGAAATAAAAAAGCAGGAATAAAGCTGTGTAAACTTGTAGGAAACTGGATCTATGTATTCAGTAAGACAGTAAAAATGCAATATCAATTTATGAGTTAACATTTTCGACACTGTCCCATCTAATACAGGTCAAAACGTACAGTGGATTTTAGTAACATAGTAAATCTCTGTGGTCTAGTGGTGAGAGTTCCCGGCTATAGATCCAGAGGTCCATGTTCAATTCCTGGCGCTACCAGATTTTTCCTGAGGAGTAGTGACACCCTCTCTCCGCTAAAGTTGGCACTAACTTTGCTGACAAGCTGTGGTCGCTCGGTCCATATAGTTCGCTTGCAGACTAAAACCATGGAGTTTTTTTGTTTGTAAATATATACCAGATTACATGACATCACATCCTGGAAGACACTGACCTTCTTAGTCACTACTGTGAGAGCCTCAGATCCCATATACATGCTCAGTCTCAACAAAACTCATTCGGTCGATGAAATATCTCATGTCTACCAACCCTTGATGTGTGCCATGTATCACTAACTCCACAGAGGTGGAGGTGAGTCCTTAAGAAGCCACCAGTTATTCAGGAGAATTTCCCAACATGGAACCCAAAGGTTCATTATCATATCCACAAGAACCCCCCCCCACTGGTCCCTATCATGAGCCAGTTTAATCCACTCCATACCACCTCATTCTATTTGTCTTGAGTTCCATTTCAATATTATCCGTTAACCTATATCTAGGTCTTCCTAGTGGTTTCTATCCTTCCAGCCTTCCCACAAAAACGCTGTATACAGTTATATTCACCTTATGCATGCTACATTCCCTGCCCATCTCATCCTCCTTTACTCGATCTTTCTAATTGGTGAAGAGTACAAGTTATGAAGCTCCTCATTATGTAGTTCCCTCAAACCTCCTATTACTTCATCCCTCTTTGGTCCAAATATTCATCTCAGTACCCTGTTCCCAAACAACCTCAGTCTAGGTTCCTGCCTTAATGTCAGAAACCAAGTTTCACACTCATACAAAATGACAGACAAAATTAGAGTTTTGTATATTTAACGTTTTTAGACAGCAGAATGGAAAACAAAATACTCTGAACCGAAAGGTTGCAATCATTACCAGAGTTTAATCTGCTCTTACTTTCATCATTAATCAAATTTTGATATGTTACTGTTGTTCCCAAATATCTGAACTTTGCCACATTTTCAGAGGATCTGCTAGTCATCTTCATGTTAAGATTTTGTCCTGTATTTTGATGAGACATCGACATACACTTAGTTTTCTCTGTGTTCACTTCTAGGCCAAGCAGTAGTTCAAACAAAGGTTTGTTTGAGCTGTATAACAGTAAAATTTTTCTTCACAGAATTTGTTCTTGACACTTTTCTAAGAACACTGTGTTGCAGTCATTCGTGTATTGCCACTAGGTGTTAAAAAATCATATCATAACCTAAGGCTTTATCAGTGGCATTCCCCTCAGTTGAGGTACATCATGCACCTGAAACTCTGGCCATCCCGTCACTTCATGGTAAACCCTGATCATTGTTTTAGACACAAGATAAAGAGCCTGATTATAACATAAGAACAATGCCTTGATCTTTTCCACATAACAAACTTCCTACAACATGTAATGAAACACAGGTGTATTATATTACAGTATACTGTGTAAAGCAAGAATTTAAAATAATTCTTTCAGAAAAAACAATGTTACACATAAACAAATATCTAAAACCAAACAATAACATGTATTTTTTAAAATAATAATTAAAATAAAACTCATAATTATAAATTCCACTAACAGAGACTAGAAAATAAGTTAGTTTCTCCATAAGTCCTCACACTCAAAATGAGTTACATTAAAAGTGTAGTGGTTTCAAAATTTCATCACTACTATCACTATACCACCACCATTAGGTTAGTTGCAAAACTTGTTCAGGACAGACAGACTGTTATACAAACAGAGTAAAATGACAAATTCATTAGACCAACTGTTTTGAAATACTGTTTATGCTTATTGCTATCTGTAAATAAAACGTAAGGACACAGCTTCAGCTGGCAAAAATACATAAGAACTTCCTCTGAACGTCTGAAAATATAACATCTTTAAAATTGTAATCTGAATTTGAAAAGAAGTATATGTCTCAGTTTTTACATGTATCCCACTGAAACATCAAACAAAATCTGTGATGTCATGAACTGAACCCTACAGATGTCTTAAATCTGTCATTTTTAAACAGATCGTTTATACTTTAAGAAGTATTCTGAATACAGAATATTCTGTTATTCAACACATCTGTTCAACAGGCAGTGTCGGTGAGGAATGCTTGCACAGCCATTTTTGTGTCAGATCCATTTATCTCAGGAAGAGTTACACAAGAAATGGCACAACTATGTCCAAAATCTCCAAGAACCTTGTTATTCTACCTGACTTGTTACATGCTCATCGATTTGCAACATTAGGTGCCTGTCATGCAGGTCACTATGCATGGGTCAACCTGTTTCAATTAGCTGTTAGTATGGAAGCTAGCCAGATATTACTTACTGGGTTCCTGTCATGATCCCAATGTAAGATATACAACCCACAGCTCCATTAAAAGACAGTGGAGCTGCAATTCCAATGATCCAGGCAGAAACCGATTCTAATTATCTTCATTTCTGTTCCAGAATAACAAAGGTTTCTATAGTTTGATGTTTCAAAACATTATGGAAGATATGTCGATCTCCAACAATTCAGAAAGAACAGTAACAACAAACTCAGCTGCATGTTCCACAAAGGCGCAGAGTACAAGTTCATTTCAACTGTTTGGAGTCCACAATAATCTCGTCACCATTCGAGATGTTGTAGCTGTATAGTTGCTTGTTAGGGAAACGCATTTCCTCAGCCCCTGTGATGTCTTTCAGGTCCTGGTCCACGTAAAACAGCTTCATGCGTGACGAGGGGATCCCTGCAAACGACTCTAGCTTCTGTTTGAGTTCCTGGACCGTCTGGTACACAACTATGCTGCGAACCTCACTTGCCTCTCCACATGTGAAACGAACCTTGACACGCTTCTCAGGGCTCAAGTCTACATCAACCAGAGGATCCAACTTACCATGCACAGCCACTAGGTCTGCATACCTGTAACAGAACAGTGCAATGACAGGAGTAACAGGGAAAAGAAGTTACAGCAGTCTCCAAAGCAAATAATGAAATTCCAAAAAAGGGGATACAGATCCATTGGCTGGCCTAGGACAAGACATGGAAATATGAGACTGGAACAGACTTTGCCTAATCCAGGTAATCCATGGAGTGAGAGGAGTGAGGGGAGGAAGAGGAGGACATTGAGAAAGAGGAGAAGCAGCTGGAGAGAGTGGGGGAGAAGAAAATGAAGGGAATGGAGGGAGAGGAGCAGGAGAAAGAGGAGAAGAAGATGTTGGAGGAGGAAATAAAAATGGATGGGGAGAAAAAGAAGATGGAGGAGGAGGAAGTTAGTGTTTTATCTAATTTTTTAAATTCATATTTTAAAATTACTGTGTTCATGTGAGCTAGAACCAAACCTGATCAGTGACATGTTTCCCATTTCCCATTAATCCTCCGGCAGAGACCTATCATTCATGCACAGACCTTGTGGCATTGTCTCATCATGGCATTTTTAATAATACTCTAAAAGGTTTATGACAGTGGTTTTATCATTATATGAATACTGCTGGACACTGTCCAGTGTTAACTGTCTGACATATATTTGATATTTGTAGTGGTTGAGAACAGCTCTTTCTAATGTGCCAAACTAAGTGGGATCATTTCCCACTTACGAAGGGGGACCCAAAAATAACTGGAAACGACCTGTTGCGCGCGCATGCTTTGTAGTTACGAGTTGTGCTGCTAGGTGGTGTTAGCTGGGGGTCTCCCGCGACTGTTAGTGAGCTGGCGTGAGTCTGAGTTAAGTGGTTTGTCTGTGGTGCTCTGTTGTGTGTGTTCCTGTTTCAACCCTTTGGCAATAAGTAAGATGGCCGACCAGAAGGAACAAAGAGTGTGCGTGAAATTTTGCTTTCTGTTAGGGAAAACTGCACTTCACTCTTCAAGTCGCGGCAAACATTCACGCGGTTTTCTCTTTGGTCATCTCCGAGCAAGCGAGGAANGCACCACAGACAAACCACTTAACTCAGACTGACGCCAGCTCACTGACAGTCGCGGGAGAACCCCAGCTAACATCACCTAGCAGCACAACTCGTAACTACAAAGCATGCGCGCGCAACAGGTCGTTTCCGGTTATTTTTGGGTCCCCCCTCATATACCTAATGATGGAAAAGGATCCAATTTCCAAAACATGTATATAAAATATGCTTCAGATAACAGACAACATCCAACATAATATTTGTAACAGTACTCACTTGGGAACAGTATAATGTGCTACTAATACAGGGTGATTCACGAAATTTTACCCTGGCTTATGGTACATATTCCTGGGGTTAATTCCTGCAAAATTTCCTTATAAACTTGTGGTCGATTTTCAATAGTTACGGAGTAACAATAGATTTTCGAAACGCATCATTGTGAGTGCAGCGCTATGCTTCCCGCCTGGGCAACCATGCGTTCCAATCAGCTGTGTCAGCTGATAATGCAGACTGGCTGGAATTTTGCGCATAGGTAGGCAGAGCGATCCAGTAGTAAACAGGATGTTGTGTTGGTGACTTTGTGAAGTTAATTTGCCGTACACATTTTCCACTGAGGAATACGCCAATACGATGTTTGTTTTGGGTGTATGTGATGGAAATGTGAGAGCCGCTGCTGCCAAATATCACCAGCGTTATCCTAATCGCAGGATTCTGAATCTTAAATCCATTAGCAGTACAGTCAACACATTAAGACAAACTGGTTCTCTCCCCAGTGTTCGTATACAATACGAACGAAATCCTCAACATGAATTGTGCAAAGAAGAAAACATTCTCAATGCTGTAGAGCGCAGTCCATGTGCCAGTACAAGACATCTAGCTCAGCGGCTCGGTGTTTCTCAGTCCATGGCGTGGAGGACTCTTCATGAGAACGGCTGCATCCTTATCATTTACAGAAAGTACGACACCTACAACCATGAGACCGTGCTCTTCGTCTGCAGTTCTGCAACTGGTTAAATGGAACTCGGAAGTTGTATCTCTTTATAATGTTCTGTGATGAGGCACAGTTTACACGGGACGGGGTCAACAACAGTCACAACTTACATGTTTGGGCAGACAATAATCCCCGTGCCACGATAGAATCGAACTTTCAACACCGATTCAGTGTCAATGTCTGGTGTGGTGTTCTGTATGATCAGCTAATCGGGCCATTCATTTTTCCTAGCCACTTAACTCATGAGATTTACCTTCACTTCTTAGAAGAAGAATTACCACAGTTACTTGAAGATGTTCCTCTGGCAACAAGACGCCGGATGTACTTTCAGCATGATGGGGGCGCCTCCTCACTTCTCCTGCGCAATAGCAGCTCACTTGGATCGGCATTTCCCACAGCAGTGGATTGGTCGTGGAGGCTGTAATACCTGGCCTCCCAGGTTGCCAGATCTAACGCCGTTAGATTATTGCATTTGGGGCTGGATGAAGGACATTGTGTACCAGGTAAAGGTACAAACACGTGAAGCGTTACTTGAACGTATTCTGGACGCGGTGATGACAATAAGGAACAAACATGTGGAACTGTGAAATGCTACGAGTGTGGTTCATACATATGCGACGCGTTGTGTTGACGTGTAGGGAGACATTTTTGAAAATCTTATGTAAATCCAGTCGTCTTCTAAATCACTACAGTTTAAAGGAAACAGATTGATAGAAGGGTGTGATATACAACCATTGGTATGTTTACAGAATGGGATGCTGAAAATAATGTAATTTTGTAACACAAAATCGATGAAAAATGTTGCACAATGCAAAATTAAGAAATTGAAAAAAAAATCGGTTTTAGAATGCTTCTTTCCTACAACATTAACGATTAGAAAGTGTTTGTATTGTATTTCTAATTTGTTTTCACTGAAAATCGAAGAAAAAAAGATTTTTCGCCAGTTTTCAAATTACTGTATCTCTTTAATTATGAGTTGGGATACCATTAGTATATTAAATTTTTTGTTCCAAATTACCTCAGGAATGCCCTCCCTAAGTGGGGGTAAAACTTCGTGAATCACCCTGTATATGAAGAACTGTAATAACAGAAAATAACTAGAATAAACATAACATTAAGTGTTCAATATATTAAAAATAACCTCTTGCCAACAATTTACTATTTTCGAGTTCTTGTTGTGAAAACTACACATTTTTTATCGTTTTTCTAGTTCACAATTTATCATGATGAGATTCTTCGGAATCTGATTCCTTATATAGATTGAAAGTGACAATGTTAACTATAGGAACCCCCCCCAACGCTACCAGCTCACCTCTCCGGTCGATCAGACTCTGGTTTCTCCAAGTAATATCTGATGAATGCCCGTTCTGCATCCTCCCGTTCTTCCTTGCCTATAATTCCACCTCCATTCAGTGTCTGAACATTAGGAAGCCTGGCAATGAGGAACTGATGGCGCTCATGTTCAGTATACTCCTGTGGGTACCGCAAAAACAATGTTCAGTCTGTTCTGAAATAATTTCTTAATTTGACTGTTATTTCTTCTTTAAAGCAAATGTATAAATTCTACTATGTATTGTGATACTGACATGGAAAGCAACTATATCACAGGCAAAGAATGGCCCTTCTGGTTGTTTTTTATATTTGCACATTTTATAGAATCATGATTGCAGAAACTGTCCTAATTGAATCTCTCACCTCAAAAAGAGGGCAACCCTGCAATCGCAGGTACTGCAATTCGGGGAACCTGCTTAGTCTATCCACATCATCCCATGTTGCCAGCAATGTGCTATTTAAGTTGAGAAATTTTAGCTTCCTGAAGTAACTGTGGGGTGAATCAATGCCTGGGGGGCTGTTAGATTCGCACTCGCTCTCCGTTCGTCCTCCTGGAGATGTATCTGCTTCTGAAGCACTCCTGGTCAGTAAGATATACATATACAGCCTTATAAGTAAAATGGCAGACATATCAGAAAAAAATTATCAAAAAGTATCACTTTTCAGAATTACTGGGTTTTGGACTTTGTCCACTGTCCGGTATTCTACAAACTAGAAAACATAATGTTTTGGAAACTGGATCTGTTTCTGTCCTCAGATGTAGGGAGAAGACATCTACTCAGGTGGATCCCTTAGAAAGAGCTAACATCAATCACCCTTCTTATCTGAGGATGGAAACAGATCCAGTTTCCGAAACGCTGTTTTTTCTAGTGTCTAGAATACAGGAGGATGGACAAAGTTCAAAATCACCATTGTCAGAATCCTTTAGAGTACCACTTTTGTTTCCATTTCAGTTATGTAATTAAATGTTAATATTATATCAATATTCTCAGAGCAGTGACTATGAAAAGCATAATTTTCTGGGTTTGAACATAGCTTTGAGGCAGCCCAGTGTCTTGCAGAGACATACTGCATCTGGACTCAGGGGCAAGAAAAAATTGGCAGCAATCTCAGTTCCAAAACATTGGACTCTCTCCAAACTACAGTGTGTTACAACTCAGAGACTGTACTCTCAAAGTGGAAATTTCATTGGATTAATTGGTTCAGAGATCATTTAACAAAGCTAGATCAGTCAGCTATGGATTATTTGGCATCAGATTAGATGAGACTGATGCAAATGATGGCAGGGAGCAGATGCAAACAATTTCAACACTTCAAAGAGCAAAAGACATTCAGATGTTTAAGAAACCCCATTCCTACCTCCAAGAAGAAAAAGCTATACAACTATTATACATAGGGCAGTCAAAAAGTTCCCAGAATTCCTCTGCAGACGGGGAACGAGTGACAAGATAGCGCACACACTGTTGTGGTGGGAAGCTCGGCATGTCTGCTCGCAGGCACAACAGGTCTGGACAGGTTTCAGTGTGCAGTGTTGTTACTGTTCCGTTTGAATTAGACGTGAGTGTTGGTCATTCGGCGCAATGTCACAGTTCCAACAGCGTGTGAACATCAAGTTCATGTGCAAATTGGGAAAATCTGTTTCAGAGACGCTATCAGCCCTGCAGCAAGTTTACGGTGATACTGCACTACAGAAATCCGCAGTTTACAACTGGTTTTCCCGTTTTAATAATGGGCAGGAGATGTTAGAGGATGACTAGTGCAGCGGGAGACCTTCAACATCCAGAACCGAAGAAATGATTGGAAAAGTGCGACAACTAATTCAATGTGATCGAAGAATGACCATCACGGAGTTGGAGCAAGAAGTTAGTACTGTTACTGATCCTTTCTACATGCAAGTTTTGCAGAGGTTGCGCGATGTGGTTCGGAGAAAGTGGCGTGACAAGTGGCAAGGACAGTGGTTTCTGCATCACGATAACACACCGAGCCACACGTCGCTTGTGCAGCAATTCCGCACAAAGAAAAACATTCCTGTCATCACTCAGCCACCGTACTCTCCAGATCTCACTCCGAGTGACTTTTGGCTGTTCCCTACTCTGAAAATGGGCCTCAAGGGGACACATTTCACAACCATGGAGGACATCAAATTGAATGCAATGGCTGAGCTCTGGAAGATTCCAAAAGAAGCCTTCCACCGCTGCTTCCAACAATGACAGGATCAATGGAGCAAGTGTGTGTGCATGCAAGGGTCCTACTTTGAAGGTGATTAGGTAAGTGTTGCCATATGTCCTACCATTAGAGTGCTATACAACCATTCCGGGAACTTTTTGACCACCCCTCGTAAATGCACATCTCTTCACAGACGTTTAGCGAAGATTTCTCTGTTTGTTCTGGGAACCAAATGAAAAATATAAAACGACTGTGGGTTACAAGCCCTGTTATCAGTGCTAAGCCAAGTGGTATATGTAGTTACAATATCCTACAAGGGATTAAAGGAAAATTGTGAGGAAATGAATAGAAGTATGGTGAATATTGACCAGAATGACCAAAATATGAGCCATGTACCTTCCAAACAAAAGTTCATCTATACTCGAGCAATCCAGCTCAGCACCAGGTTTATGGTGATAAATTTTTGTTTAATACTTTCAAAGTTTATTTAGTGATATTTCATCATCTGCGTAAGTTATACAACATCGAAGACTAGAATGTGAATGATGAATTAGGAAGGATCTGGAATGATGTGTTGTTTGCCTACTTGAATGTACATTCTTCCAGACAGGCTAAGGAAAACTAGAAAGAACCCCAGTAGAAAAAGCCGGTCTTTGGGCTGCGAATACAACCCAGGCCATCCCGAATACTAATTAAGATTACTGAAAAATCAGGAAGACTACATGTGATGTCACATTAAAAGTTCATCACAGTGGTGTGCTATTGTTGCTGCTGTCTAAATTTTGTAAACTGCCTTGTTTTTGTCTTCTGTTTGTTGTTTTTACTTGTGCTTCATTTGTAACTGGTCACTGTGCTTTTAAGTTAGCATATAAATAAATACAGAAATGAATTATTGTTGTTGATCTCATCATTGTCCTTGCTATAACTCAGGCAGTTAGACACATGCTTCCCACCACAGAGCCATGGGTTCAATCCTAGGTGACTTCATATAAGAACTGTAGTAGATGAAGTGGCACTTGAGCAGTTTTTTCTCCAAACCTGTTCAACTTTCCCCTGCCAATCATCATTCTACCATCTGAGGTATGCAATAACACTGACCAGGCAACACAACATGAGTATCATATCCTCAGTCTTTACGTTTGGGGCTGTATCTCTGATTGGTTACAGGGTTGGCTTTGTCTAATTGACCCTAAATACTAGGCATTTCATTTTATGTAGGATTTGATGTTCTCACAGGGGCAGATATGAAGAGTTATATCTACTGGGATATAACTCTGCAGAGTCCATTGAAAGTCAATTGATGTTTCAGAGAAACCTGCTTCACATGGTTTCCCGCTCAGCTCATTCTTTGACCCTGAAGGTGGAGGTGACACTGCCGCCTGAATGTTGGTTGACTTTCAGTGAGCTATGTGGCATTATATCCCATAAGTTACATCTCTTCGTACCTTCTTATTTTTTACCTGTGGAAGGCGACATAGCCATACCCCAAAATGTTGTCATTATATTTTAAACCAAGCATAATTATTTATGCTGATTCTGTGATAAGAAAAGGCAGAACACCAAACCACTACACACCCATTCCCTATGATAGGAGATGGGTCAAGTGACTGCAGCGGGCACTCAGCGAGTACAAGAGCCCCAAGTGTAGGAAAGGCCAGACCCAACTTGCATATCTCCCGCCATGTGGCCACTGGATTCCCCGAGAAGTGTAGCTTCTTCACATTGCAATAGTGACGAGGGCTTGTCTGCGTATCAGCATCATTGCTCAGTTCCACACTACTGTAGTTGTTGAGGCTGAGGTGTAGCTCCTCCAAACTGCAACAACATATCTCATTCTGTTATCACATCAGTCGGTCATTTCTAGTCACTGGCTTCAATTTTGAACAAGGTAACCACTTTCCAAGCCATAATATGTAAACAAAATATAATCTGATTCAAAATTATAATAACTTATGGCAGTGGTTGCAAAATATTTTAGCATCCCCCCCCTCCTGCCTTCCTGCTTTTGGTTTTCACCAAATACTCATGCCCCTCCCCCTCAACAATATATTTATTAAAATAAATATAATGATTTGTATCACTTGTAATGGTTTATATCATTATCTAAGGCCATGCCATAGCTCAAGTGGTTAGTCACTGGCTTCCCACCGTGGAGGCCGGGGTTCGGGCCAGGGTCTGGTCACGTGGGATTTGTAGTGGGCAAAGTTGCGCTGGGGCAGGTTTCCTCCGAGTGGTTCAGTTTCTCCTGCCAATCTTCATTCCACCAAATTCTCCATCATCATAATCACCTGGGGCAGGTACAATAGACCAATCAGTGGTCACCATGGAAAGTGGACCCAGCCGGACTCCACCCCCCACTATGAGAATTAAAAAAATTATATCATTATCTATGAACAACTAACCTGTAATTAGTACTATATCAAAAGTGTGGGTAAAAAATTCAAAATTTTAAAATTAAAATGCTGCATAGTGATCTTTATTTGGCAATGAATAAATGCTGAAATCTAATCATCCTAAATTTGTTTAATATCTGCATTAACAATTCTGACACATGCTTCTGGGAAACATCATTAAATACAGCCAAAGAGAATTATTTCAGCAGTATTTGACACTAAAAATTTATTTTATCTCATGATCATCCCTTGAACTCTCTCATGCCCCCCAACCTGAGAACCACTGATTTTGGGGATTCAGTTATTCAGTATAGAGGGGGTGGGTTTCCCCATGCACTGCGACTAATAGTCTATTGTATGTCCCCCTTTAATTTCTACTGTCTCCATACCCTACTGATACTGGTGTCCGCTGTCTCCCCTTTCTGCCAGCGAGGTCAGCCCTCTACTGGCAGTGGTACCCGATAACTCTCCCCTTTCTGAAGGTGAGGTTGGCCCTCTACTGGCATTGGTACCCGATAACTTCCCCATCTACCGGAGGCATTGAAAACTACTTGGGCGGGAAACATTTTGCCTAATTCTGCTCAGAGGTCTCCTAGAGACATGAGGATCTTTTACGTGCCGTAAATCTACGACACGGGACCCATGGCTTAAAGTCCCTCCCGGAGGACTTATTCCCTGAATTTTTCTGCTCTTCAAAATTCCACGACCTCCGCCGGGTTTGAACCCGCGTACCTTGAGTCATGAGGTGGGAACGTTACCCCTAGACTACGGAGGCCGCTCAATTTTGGGGATACTCTATGCTTTGACAATAATTGCACCAATGAATTAAATACAAACATTATTTCTAAGCCCTTTACAGTCATTCCAGATGAGAAAGCAGAAGTCTGTAGCATATTTCAGGTTTCCACCGAGTGATAAGATTTTAGATTACATTTGAACAAAGAGGTCAGCATTAAATCACATTTGCATTGCATCTATGTTCAATCTCTTGTGCATCCCATTCCGAGATGTAGCCCTCTGACAGTCCTGCACCTTGACTGAAGCATAGTTATGTTGAAATAATTCAGCAAAAGGCTTTTGTTTCCTAGAGCCAGTAACAGAGCATATGTACCAAAATTTTTATGCCATATGCACATTTTCTAACTCTTCCAACTAATCCAGATTTGATATAAGGTTAAGTTCGAGATCTGACATTTTCAAAGTGATGAAAATTCACATCACTGTGTCCTGGGTGAGAACAGGAGGTGTACACATTGAAATACAGCAGTTTTTATAAGATAAAGTTGGTAAATTTAATTATTTACACTATATTTAACAATGCTGTCAGTCGTTCAGATTGTGTAGCAGTGACTGACAGGATGCTTGATGAATAATTAGTTGGAAAAGATATGAAAGGAAGCAGTTCCAGCCTTAATTGAGGAACCATTCTAGCATTCTCCTAGGAATGACTGGGGAAAATCACAAGAAATCTCTCAGGATAGCTGGTCTGCAAGATCTCCTAACTGTGGAGGAGTGTTACCAGTTCAGTTGTGACATACAGTCAAGTTAATATAGGTAAACTATGGAATGAATACTTATAGAATAAATTTATTCATCCTAGACTGGCACTGGGGATGAACAATATATTTTATTTCAAACAAGGCAAAATATCAAGGTTAAGGAAATTATTATGAATGTTAAGACAATAAACGACCAATGTAGGATTTGAGGCTCTCACAGGAGTGGTTATGAAGAGTTCTATCTTCTGGGATGTAAGCTGATCGATATTTTGGAGGAACACGTCACCTCCATCTTCAGGCTCAAAGAGAAAGCTGAGCATGAAACCAATATGAAAGCAGGTGGTAAGCACAGCTCTGCTTGCCTTTTAACAGACTACACAGTGTTGTATCCCAGAAGATAAAACCCTCCATAAATAACCAAATCAGATTTATCGAACCACAGGTATTTCTATACCAGGTCTTGTGATTTGCTGCTGAACAGTTTCCAGAGCTTAAGGCTTACATTCTAACTGTGAAAAAAACAAACCATGGCAGTAGCCGTAGCAGATCCCGAACACTCTTCCAGTTGATACGAGTAGCATTCAAAACGAGGTTCTTCAGATACTGGAAGGGATTCCTGTCATCCAGATTAAAAAGCTCTTCCGTTAGGCTGTTGAAACTCAGGTTGACGAACTTCACTCTTGGCATGTGCTTCAGTATGTCAAACACCTGGCACAAGGATGACATGCCAGAAGTCAATATTCAGATATGGCTCAAATACTACTAACCTCTAATTCTTCTTCTGTGATCTTTCAAGAAACTGTGGCTCATGTCTCAAACCCCTACAATTTTTATGATTTAATAACGTTTTATCAACTACTGCTATTAATTATAATTGTTTATTTTGCTGATGATCACTGCAGAATACGAGGGGGGACCCAAATATAACCGGAACTGACCTGTTGCGCACGCATGCTTTGTAGTTACGAGTTGTGCAGCTAAGTGGTGTTAGCTGGGGGTCTCCCGCGACTGTTAGTGAGCTGGCGTCAGTCTGAGTTAAGTGGTTTGTCTGTGGTGCTCTGTTGTGTGCGTTCCTGTTTCAACCCTTTGGCGATTAGTGAGATGGCCGACCAGAAGGAACAAAGAGTGTGCGTGAAATTCTGGATCGTTCTGCACTTCACTCTTCAAGTCGTGGCAAACATTCACGCGGTTTTCTCTTTGGTCATCTCCGAGCAAGCGAGGAACAAATTTTGCAGACACCCGTCTCATGTGCAAACCTTCAGTTAAAATTCGCTGGACCGTGCTCCATGAGATGTTCATTTCCTCAGAAAGTTGGTCAATGGTCTTTCGACGACCTTCATCAAGCAAAATTTCACGCACACTCTTTGTTCCTTCTGGTCAACCATCTCACTAATCGCCAAAGGGTTGAAAAATGAACGCACACAACAGAGCACCACAGACAAACCACTTAACTCAGACTGACGCCAGCTCACTAACAGTCGCGAGAGACCCCCAGCTAACACCACCTAGCAGCACAACTCGTAACTACAAAGCATGCGCGCGCAACAGGTCGGTTCCGGTTATTTTTGGGTCCCCCTTCGTATAAGAAACTGTCAAATGATGAAATGGCAGGACCCAATGAATGCATAAGGAGTGGGCCATAATAATCCGGCCCTTGCACTGTGACCTTCAATGATCTATTGGGCTTCCCTTCTTTGGTAGGACCCAATGAAACCTATAGCAATGCAGTTCCATCCATTACAGATTTCATAATAGTCTTCTGGGTTGTAACGCTGTGTAGTTCAGAGACAGACCATCATTTTCGAGGCACATATCGCCTTCATCCACAGTGTTGAAGTAAAAGCCAAGCATGGAACCACAAGAAGCAGGTGGTAAACTGAGCTAAGCTGACATTGCTACCTACTACTGGATTCTTGTTTGGCTTTTTCTTCGGCCCTGAGGATGGAGGCACGGTTTTCCACTGAAATGACAGGCTCTCTCTGAACTGTTTTACGGTACAGAGTTCCTATGCATAGGACTGGAGGCCAATCCATTAGCCACAGTAAACATGTGATCACTCAGCACCAAATTATTCCTGTGATGAAACCTAATGGTTCAGTTTTATAACAAAAGCCGACTGCTGAACCCTGTCTACAGTCACTCCAACTCAAATCTTATTGTCATTATCTATTCATTAAATTTATCCCTGGGCTTAATTAAATAATTACCCACCATGCCATGAAGACATGTGTGAGTGGAGGTACAGCTTAACCCTTCTTAACCTGGGCACTATATGGAGGTGAGTGGTCAGCTTCATGCCCCAGCCACTTTACCCACTGGGAAACAGTCCCCAGTACCCATTGTATAGGAGGTTGGGTGGGCCCCAGAGCCGGTCTGGATGCTGTGGAGACAGGGAATGATCTCTTAACTCTGCCAGGAAAAGAACCCGATTCCTTGGTCGTCCAGCCTGTAGCCTCTAGTCGCTATACAGACTGCGCTATTCCTGCATTCAGTACTATTATTATCTCTCTATGTAAAAAACTGCAATGATGTTGCATGGAATTAGGATGACACAGTGTGTCAATAAGGCACTGCATATGCAGTTGTAGGTAGTACTAATTCTGCCAGTAGATGGATCTGCCAATATCTGTCAGCAGCTGTGGTTGTTTTTGAAAAAAAAAATGCTTGTTTGGACATGCTTCTGGACACCTGTATTTTTTCAGCACTGGATGTCATTATTTTGCTGTGAAATAGAAAGAAAAGAGGCCCTAGTGTTTACTTGTATTGTCATTTCAAGTTTCACTTATTTATATTCCTTCAAGAAATCTGTGAGGATTTTCAGTTTTAAAAATTGTGTTTTCAAGGAAAACGTTAAAACTAAAACATTATATTTTACTTTGATGCTAATTAGCTAATTTTCTGGCAGTAGAACCTGGATATTTAATAGTGTTAATAAGAAAGCCTGCTGTTAGTCATATTCCTGAGCCAGTTCCATCCATCTCCCATCCTCATAACCTGCCTCTTAATGTTATCCTTCCATCTCAAGTCAAATATAGCACATTTGTGTTAACAGTAATATTAGGAATGATAACGCAGTCGGTATGGGCTAGACGGCCAAGAAGTTGAAGTAGGGGTAATATTTTTTCCTCCTCACTTCATCTAGACCGGTTCTGGAGTCCACCCAGCCTCCAATTCAATGCATACCAGAAATTCTTTCCCCAGGGTAAAGCGGCCAGGGCGTGAAGCTGACCACTCGCCTCCAACCTGGTGCTGAGGCCTATACATAGACTCCCGCTTAATTAGCGCAGGGACAACTTTAACATTATTTTGAACGATAAAAACAGTGCTAGAAGTTACTTTTTTTATTATGTCAATCCTCAATAGCAAAAACTTCCTTTTTTGTTACGGGTCTTCATAAAGCTGTCACTTCCGGAAATTTCCTTTCACTTTTCACATACCTCAGTCCATCTTTCCAGCTTGTTCTGAGCGAGATCCAACTCCTCAACCCCCCGACATTTCTTCTCCAATTCCTGTTCATCCCCTGCAGTTTCGATATCACAGTCGTTTAGCACCAATAGTGACGGGATTGAGTTCCTCGGGCTTTTCTTCGGCACGTAAATTTCAATTGGCAAGTCAAGGTCAAAATTATCGACCTCTTCTTTACCATATTTTTTATCTATTGCTTCTAAAAGTGATGGCATTTCATAAAATCTGAAACAGTAATAAATAAAATCACATTCCACTAACGCATACCAAGCTGTTTCACAAGCACCGCACACACTAGTACGTACTGCTTTGTTTGATGTGCTTTCACAACAGCTGATTTTGGCTGATATCTCTCTGGCAAACGTCCAAATCTTCACTTAAACGCAAAAAGGAAATATGCGTAGATAACGACACAGCTTAAATCTACGCATATAACGTCAGCACCGTAATATTTGGGGTTCTGATTCTGTTTTAAGAAGCGCAAATCACTTAACAATTACGTTTGCTATTACGTATTACATAAAACTTTCACTCACAAGTTGGACACGGGCACTTGAACAAAGCAGGTAGACACAGCAAAATTCAGACTTCGCTTACACTCAATAAACGTACAAGGAAATGTAACTTTCTACTTTAATTTGTTGCATTACCTCTTCAGACTATTACAACGTCACATTTTAATGATTTTCTGTCATTCTTTATGCAAATTAACTTACTGCTTTACGATTTTTCGACGGTAACAGACCGTCGAGGTCCTCCTTCCAGCTGCAGACGTTTGTTTATATTTACACAGCACAGCTGTAACGGCTGTAACTAGTGTATTTCTCTGCGACTCGTGTAGATGTCGCTAATGTACAAGGTCATTTACCGATTTCCTTCGGCCATTTTATATCCAAAAGTTTAAACATATAAATATTTCCTACCACGCAGTTATTTCACAATGTCGTTGTTAAGTACTATACAAAATATATAATGAATTGCTGAATTATTATTATTGTTGTTGTTATTAACCATGTGTGCTGTGAATACGTAGATTAATGCTTAATTCTGCTAATGCTGCAACCCACACGACGATTGTGTTAGTTGTGTTGCCACTCTATCAGGCGAATTTAGTTCAGATTTATATCTCGACTTGTAACAACATTACATTGTATTAAATATGTCCAATTACTTACGTGTTTTAACTCAAAACAAAGACACTGAACATAACCTCCTGTAAGAATACCAGAGAATGTCAATGCTTGACGATTTGTCGTACACAGCACAACTCTAGCAATTGATAAAACCGTTAGTAAACACGTGGGCTGCCTTGCGACTGCTGTCGGCAAGTTCGTACAGATCACATCCCCTAAATAGGTCACGCATCACATTCTTGGTTAATTCTGGATTCAGGTCAATCTAGAAACATAAAAAGAAAATATTGTGACGTGTTATCTCACGCCCATCGCCGCGACAACCGCTACAATCGGAACGCACACTTCCACGACAATGAATACGTGGAAATTGTGGAGTTCCCACAGCGACAAATCACAGCAGCGAATTGTCGTTGAGTAATAATGAGGGAAACGAAACACGATATAGCATTTCCATGACAATAAAGGGTTCGTTGCGTAACAACGAATTGTTTGAAGCATCGAATATGGTGTCCTCTAAGCGGTTCGAAAGACCCATATATAATGTGTGGCGGCGGGATTGAATACCTCCACCGAGACCCTGCGAGTCGTAGGAGATGACGAAAAGAGGAGCCTCAGATCTGAGACAGTAAAATATGGTCGCGAGTCCCAAGGGATTCGGACCCGAGAAAGACTGCGCTGGCAAGGGCCAACAGCATATACAAAAGACAAACCCGTCCTCTCGTCAGAGAGGGCGCCCCATAGAAACAAGACCGTAACTGTCAGACGGTCAGACTGTCAGACTGGGGCTCGACACCAAGACTTACTGACTGACTGCCGTCAGTCGCAAAGTGACTTGGGCTTGGGCTTGGGCCGAGATATAGTCAAAGTCACATTGCGACTGACGGTCAGTTGATATAGTTGTAGACAGTTGAGATCCAGCCACGGTAAGAGACAGTTGGAAGATAGCTGCCGCAGAATGCGGTTGAAGTGATACTAATTGTAATTGAGTGTGGAAGAGTGAGTGTTCAATAAATATCCGTTAAATTCGAGACCCATGTGAAGTTATTTGTCGCGTGACATACTCAACACGTGACAATATGATTATGAAAACTCAGCTTTATATATAACCACAGCGTGTGCAAGACCAAGGATTGTCATGCAGCACGAGATTGTAAAAGTGTACAGCGTCCATGTAACAGACGATTTCGGCAGAAGGAAGTATAAATAGTACGGCAACAGCCATGTACTTCAAATCTATATAAATAAAAATGTAAATGTTGGTTTGCCTCTGATCGAAGACCTCCGAAAGTTCTTCACCGATTGCTTTGAAATTTTGACACAACGTTGCATTCGAATACGCGCGTTTTTTTTTTGTGTACCTATTATATAGATGTCACACCTGTGACAGGTAAAAACATGTAAAAACCTGTCACATGTTCCGAATCCAGCAGTCGTTTCCATGGTAAAGCTAGAACAGTTGCATAGGATAAGAGGTTCCGTTGCGTAACAAGGGATGAAACCGGAAAGTATACTTCCATGGAAACGCAATAACAGTGGGCCGTTCCATAGGAATTGCCGAAAAAACAAATGCGTTTCCCCGGAGATGAGAGGATAAGAGGTTCCGTTGCGTAACGACGGATGAAACCAAACACTTCTACAGGGTGTTCTGTCGTCCATCGAATACCAACAGATCCTTACCTACGAATAACCGCGGCAACGAGCACAGAACACGTGAAATTGAACCCTGGGCGAAAGTGCCCTCTATTGCGTCCGAAACCAGGTTATAACAGTCCAGCTCCGAAGAGTTTTTTGGTGATACTGGACGTGATAATAATTGTACTCGCTGGTGTAAAAGTGAGTGTTCAATAACTTATTCGCTGAATCCGAGACGTACGTGGAAGTTATTTGTCGCACTGAATAGGAGACACGTGACCACAACCACGTTACATAGGTAACACGCTACATATTCTTATTATCAAAGTACACGTAAATAATGCAACGTGTTATACGTCGTTCATTTCGCGAGTATAGTTTGTTTTTCATTTCGTTTTCTTAACTGTTCTCCTTATTTTTCAGTGCAATTGGCGGTGGGATTGAGCTGTGTCGATTGATCTGCGTTTGAATTGAAATATTTCGTTAGTATTTTTTATTTTTATTTTTTTGTTTCTTTGTTTTCCAGTTCGTGTTCTTTCCTTTTTTAATGTTTTGCAATTTTATATGTTTTTGTTATAACTTTCTTTCTTCCTCTTCCGTGCAATCGATCTGCTTTAGTTCATCCAAATAATGCCTCGCAGAAGCTCAAACTTAGGTCGTCGTACTCGCGGAGCGGAAGCAATTCACTCGATCTGCCACAGCAACGCGTGGCCGGGTACAGCTAGTTACTTATAATAAAGTAAAATATTGATGATGTGAGAAAGGGATATAATGTTCTATAATTTCGTATGGGACTTGTTTTAAACTGAACAGAGACCCGAATAAAGCCTCCCCTTAAATAAACAAACATTATATTTGCCTGAATTAAAATCTCAGGCGTTGTCATTCGACCCTGATGATGGAGACCGTGGAGATCTCTGAAACGTTGATTCTTAGTTCGATATTGACATGACTAATAGCATGAAATTTTAGCATGTTTATATTTCGTGGAAGTTCCATATCTCACATAGGTAAACAGAAATATACATACCATCACGGGAACAACCACTCGGTACAACGAAATGCAGAAATCCCCAAGGAATCAGTCACAGACGGGTCTTTATATTTTCACGTGATGGAGTGACTATAGACGGAGTTTAGTTTGGTAATCGGATTTATTAAATCTTACAACTCGTAACTACAAGTAAGGATTATGCTCTCGCTGTTCTACACACTTCACAAATCACTATAGGACACAATAGGTCTTCTCAGTCTGTTACACTCTTCACTAGCCGCTGCTTGGTATCGGCTTCAACGGCTGGCTTTACCCTTCCTCTGGGTTCCCAAACTATCCCCGTGCCTCAGCTACCAACTTCTCACAGCAACAGCTCAGAACAACTGAACCACAACGGTTATCTAATCAGCAACATATGATCATTCACCATATCGACTCTGACGATAGGGACAGAGGTCTCTGAAACGCTGACTTCTAATTCAACATTGACACGGTTGATCGCCCTAGAAGATTTTAGTAGTATTATTTCCCCTTGAAAACTTCAAATGTTACATGAAATTTACATGCAACCTGTCACTATAGCAGTAATCAAATTGGCCAGAAGTCAGAACTATATTGTGACATGACGCCTGAAAGCCGGAATAGTGAAGCAGAGCGGAAGTCCGTTGCTGGCCAACGGCTCGCCAGCGCACGTTTCTGCTGCAATGAATAATAACAGTAATACACGTGACAACGCGACCTGTTCGAGGTGGTGGTCTCTCGCCTGTTCGCCCCAAGTTATAAAAGAGAGCTCATTCGTGAATTGAGTGATTAATTGATTCGTAACGGAGTTCAATGGTTCAGTCGTAAAAGTGAGCAGTGATTCTTCGTTCGTCATTCGTCACAGTGAAAGAGAAGACACTCGTGGTCCAGTAAGGAATGGAGCCAGTCGTAGACAGTCACTGATTGCGAGCTGTCATAATTGACTGTAATCGTAATAGAAGTGCCAATAAATCCAAACCAGAACCGTTATTATTAGTCACGCAACCCCCAAATACGTGACAATATATTGAATGAATAAATGATCAATACTAAGTCTTCAATATTCAGTGTTCACAGGTAAAAAAGAATGGAGCTATACCTCCATTTCCCCATACGTCATCATGGTTCGGTGCTTAATAAACAACATGGACAAACTTAATCTTAATTTTCCTCTCTAAATTTTGAACTTAAACCAGTCACAGTAGCCGCGCTGTTTAAGGCATGAACTGCATTCGCTCGCTCGGACGCTGGGATCGTGGGTTCGAATCCCACTCAAGGTATGGATGTTTGGTGTATGTAGTCGTTTATTCTGTGTTTGTGCTGTCCTATGTTTAGGCAGAGGCCTTGCGACGAGCTGATCACTCTCGTCCAAGGATTCCTGCCTTTTGTGAAAATTGATTACGGAACTGAATAAGAGACTTGGACCCTGAATGGGCTGGAAGAGCCACTGAAAAAGAATTGGGACTTAAAGTCCATATATCGTATCATTATACGTATATATTTTATTCCCATTTGTCTGTCCACCCATCCATCGAAGACGAATCCCACATTCTGTCTTTGTATCCACACGCGCATACATACATACATACAAATAGATTCTAAAAGGTTCTGACGATGGTGTGTAACACATGGAACTACCGGGTTTTTTTTTTCTTTGGCCACCTTCCGGTTTTCTAAAAATCGGAGAACACAAAGTTTCGGAAACTGTATCTGTTTCCGTCCTCAGGTGAGAGAGGGTGACACCTACTCATTTGGGTCCCTTAGAAAGATCTAACCTCAGTCACTGGACCCACTACTCCCAGCAGTGAAACAAGCCGCATAAATACGGTTGCTATGACAGCCGTCAAATCAATCAGTTAC